GAAGAAGGTGACTGCAAGGATAAACTTGAAATAAATCAGAGGTTTCACACTGGGAAGAAACAGTATGGCTGTGTCGCATGTGATAAAACATTTGAAAAAAATAGTGACCTAAAAATACTTCAAAGTGTACAAACAGGAGAGGAATTATATAGGTGTGTGGTGTGTGGCAAAGAATTTGGAAGGATTAGTAACCTAAACAGACATGAAAAAATTCACTCTTCTGATCAACAATACAGTTGTTCAGTGTGTGGCAAAGAATTTAGAACAAATAGTCACTTGAAAATACATCTGAGGATACACACTGGTGAAAAACCATATATTTGTGAAGTATGCAAGAAAGAATTTGGAAGAAAAAGTGACCTGAAAATACATCAGCGTATACATACTGGAGAGAAACCGTATAGGTGTGCAGTGTGTGGTAAAGAGTTTGGAAGTAGTAGTAATCTAAATGGACATAAAAAAATTCACACTGGTGAAAAAGAACACAGTTGTGTAATATGTGGCAAAGAATTTGGAAATAATAGTGACCTAAAAAAACATAATAGGATACACACTGGAGAGAAACCTTACATCTGCTTAGTGTGTGGCAAAAAATTTGGCAATAAAAATCAACTTGATGTACATGAGAGGGTGCATACTGGAGAGAAACCGTACAGTTGTGAAGTGTGCGGGAAGGAATTTCGAAGCAATAGTGACCTAAATAAACATAATAGGACACACACTGGGGAGAAACCTTATATCTGCTTAGAATGTGGAAAAGAATTTGGAAGAAATAGTCATCTAAAAGCCCACAGGAGAATGCACACTGGAGAAAAACCATACAGCTGTTTAGTGTGTAGCAAAAAGTTTGGAACAAATAGTCACTTAAAAATTCATCTAATGATACACACTGGGGAGAAGCCACATAGTTGTGTTGTGTGTAGGAGAGAATTTGGAAGGAAAAGTGACCTAAAAATCCATCAGCGAATACACACTGGAGAAAAACCATATAGATGTGAAGTGTGTGGCAAGGAGTTTGGAAGGAGTACTCACCTAAACAGACATAAAAGAACTCATCTACACAACACTATGCATGTGGCATAACTTAGAGAAACGATATAGTTGTGTAGCGTGTGGTAAATAATTTATTAGTAAAGGTCAACTTGAAATGCATCAAAGAATACACAGTTTGGAAAAGACTACACATTTGTTCAGTATGTAAAAAGAGTTTAGAAGAAAAAAAACTTAAAAATATATCAATAAGTACTCACTTGAAAGAAATGTATTGTGTGACAAGGAGTTTGGAAGAAGTAATCATTTTAAAAAGTCATCAGAAGGTTCATACTTATGAAAAATGATATATTTGTATAATCTGTTGAAATAAAAGTTGTAATATGGGTTGTATAGGTGTTTGGTGTGTCGTAAAAAATGTGTGACTTAATAAAACATAGCAATTATAACATATTGTGGAGTTGATACAATTATATATTGTGTAATAAAAAATTTATAACAAGATATTAATTAAAAATACACCAAAAAGATCCACACTAAAGAAAAAAAATCCAATGTGTAGTATGTCTAATGATAGCTTAAAAAGATACGTGATGGCACACTAGGAGAAATGATTCAGTCGTAGTGTTTGTAACCGAGAAATAAATAGTCTTATCATGTAGAAAGACATCTTATTATTGACATCTGAAGTAAATCATACAGTTGTGAAGTTTATGGAAAGAAAGAAATTGTTATGTGAAAAGTGAT